ACTCTATCTCCAACAATACAAATACACATTATCAGTTTTTATTGGGTCGTAATTTGTGTTCGTCTTTACAAATGGCTAAACGACAGCGGTACATAGCACCGAATTCTACGCTAAGAGAAGCTCAAAGAACAGAATCAAATTTATGGGGAAACCTCGACCCTGCCTGGGTCCCCGCCGATTCTGTAGGAGGCGAATTAGCTCCCAGACCGCCGAGTCTTACGTTTAATGTTTCACCTCCCGCCGCAACTGTATTCCTAAGAATGTACGCGTCACTTCGAAAAAGAAACCATCGAAATGAGGTAGGAACGTGATCCGCCTACGGCATACTAAATTTGTCTCTGACATGTACCGAATCCATTCTTCTGCAACTTCCGGGCGATATGCTAGAGTTGACGAGCTCTACCGCGACCTAGCACACGTGATGACAGAACAAGATTTAATTCGTTTTGGTTTTGCACAGTACTGCGTCACCGATTTCGTTGATGTACAGGGGTCAGTGGACAACGCCAGGATCTAGAAAGCGATGACAGGACAAGAATTTAAGGATATTGATTGACTATATAGCTCAGCATGAGTATTGTAATTCTTATCTGACGCGCATGTCTCTACAAACGATGACAATATGTAGCTACACACTAATGTTGGGTATATCTGTATCGTGTTCAGCAGGATGAATGGGAAACAAGTGTGGATACGCCGTCGCGCTCAAGCTGCTATTGAGCCTACGTCATGAAGAGTGCTAGGTTGCAAGGGTACAGTAGTGTACCTGTTCTTTGAATATTTATGTGAACAAGCGCCCTGGAGTCAATAATATGCAGTGGACTGGCGAAAGTGTGTACAATCAGGAGATGCTCAGGTAACGAAGCCACTGTTTTAACCGCAGCTGTCTACTAATATCTAACGGTTTCTCGGTGCACGTAAATTCTTATTACAGGGTTGCGTATCCGTTAATGCATTGTCCAGTCTCGAGCGTATATGGATACTGATAGCTCGAGGTTTGGCAGACTAAGGCACCGCGGAACGCACTCAGTGAACGAAAACAGCGACATTAGGCGACGTCCGGATCACGAGTGTCTAGGCTATCGGAATTAAGATTCGAATGAGATTAAACTGATACCGAGATCAGCTACGTGCCCATGCCTTGTCTTAAACCTTAAACGCCTCGTAAATGTAAACTTTAAATGAACGATTATTCAATTTTTCCTATACGAGGTTGCTGATTACATGTATGATAAATTAGCTCAAGGACATACGTGGCACCCCAACATTGACTATTGCAACAAACAAGTGGATGGGTGCAGAAAGTGGCATGCTTGTGATACAGCATAGGGGATTGACTGAAAGACATTCAAACAAAATTTGTGTGATGCCAAATCATTGCTTGTTGAACTATCAGCATTTCTATAATAGCTGTCAACGTTGAAGAACGTGATGTACGCAAGAAGAACATGTATGGATTTAGTGCGTTAAGTAAAGTAGTGGGGCGTGCCGAAAATTGCCTTGACATCAAAAGTATCACCATCATCACCACCTCAGCTATTAAGCACCCATAATGGAAGTGCTAGTCTCGAAGCAATGGAGATTACCCTTAAATGTAGCCGATAGTAGTGACCGACATCGTACTTTCAGTGGCCGGAAGGATATTGGATATGTTCTTGATCGGGTGCGGATTATTCACTTGGACATTGAAGATGCCGCACTTGATTCGATACTTTCTGGCAGCCCATAGTATCCTGCCCCGTGACATGTCGGTGATTCACCGGGAGAGGTGGAGTCTGTCCACGATACGAAAGATTGTAGGAATGTCTTCTCGGGGCAATTTTCTTCTCGGATCATATTTAAATTGTGAGTATGACTGACCTTGTCCTCCAGACACTTGAAATAATGCTTTATCGCTTTTTATAGCTGCAGCTTGATACAATTGTCCAGTGCACGGCATAAAATTATCGACACTTGACACCTGTGGCAGAGAACCATCATGTGTGGAGTTAAAAGGTAGTACTTGAGTGGCGTGTTGAACATCATGGGTACAAATAAATCGGCAAGTATGTTAAGAATGTCAATACCACCTACCTGTGATGCCTGTTGCTAGATTCGCAGCTGTCCTTTGCATAGTAGTGGACACTCATAGCATCGACTTTCTACTTAAATTCGACACGTCAGGTGGCATATTACCATCAACCTCAAACTGCTGGGGATACGTAATCGAGCAGTCTCTGTCTTGCTGACGATTCTCCATCCCGGAAACTAAAACCAGTAGTTTCATAAGTCGCGATAGGATCAAATGAAGGTTAATAGTAAGCTTTGCTGCACGTACCTGACTCGAGCCTGCCTTACGTCAGTGCAGCACGTATCTGGCTCGAACCTGTCTTACTTCAGTGCAGCACCTTGGATCGAACTTTTCTTACGTCAGTGCAGAAATTTGGCTCGGAATTGCTTTATGTGCGTTTCCAAACGCTAAGTCGTAACGTTTAGTAATGGTGTGGGGGGAGGACTGTCGCCTTGAAAAATATGATACGTTTGTATTAATCGCAAGACGCGGTGCTACGTACCGCTGTCGTTTTGCCATCTGTGAAGACGAACACAAATTACGACTCATAAACAACTGATTATATGTATTTGTGTAGTTGGAGATAGAGTTGGCTCCAGGTAGTCTTTCAATTGGATATGTTAAACGCGTCCCATCATGAAGGCGTTCCAATGACTGTTCTCGTTGAAGAAAAAGTCCCACCACTTGACACTGTCATCAAGCGCTGAACAGAAAGAAAGCCATGAGGGCACGGACGGCCGTCTGAATCGCACGACTAACCATCGATACATACCTACACTATAGCGCGTCAGGCTTTGACAACTCGATGCAAGTGAAATTCATCGTGTACAATGTGTTTACAGCGCTCTGTCTTGATAAGGCTTAATGACATTCTTCACACCAAATCCACACGTTATTTGTGAAGTCCTTACCTTATGGAAAAGATGAATCATTTCAAGCAAGGCAGGGATTTGCCACCGGTTCAAGGAGGTTTGACGAAGCGGAACTACGAAGCTTTACAGTCAGAGAACGACTTTTAGCTGAAGATGTACTTGCTTTGACACTGTGTAAAATCGACACAAAGACTCTACTAGTCAATCAAACTAGAGGGGATGGACCCAAGGAGTCAACTAGCCTCCAGAGAGCGACGATTACGGAATCAATAGCATAAGGTGATCAAGCATAAGGCTTGTTAAATTGACTTGGTGATTACTGCTTAAAACTTGAGCTAGTGTTTATTTGATCTTTACAGAAAAACAGCGGTACATCCTACTTATTTCAAAATAAGATTTGACCTCCTATTGTAGTAATTCTGATAAGTAGGTTTCTATTCAGATGATTGACACCTGTTTGCCGCCGATTTACGTACTTAGTACTAATTTGCATTACAAAAAACTGCCCTACAATGCTCACGTACTTAAACGTAACCCATTAGTCGGACAACTTAAGTAAGAGATCGTTTCAGGTTACTGCTGAAGTTAAAAACAAAACGCACTCAGCAGATAGCTAGCAGTGTTGGACCTTGTTTCGCCTGAAACTTACCCTCTCACTTTTTCATCCCTTTCGTTTTTGCTATTTGGCGGCCATGTCGAGCAGAAGATGACCACTCCCTGATATTTTTTCTACTTCTAATGTCCCCTTCCGTATGGGTTTCTCCACAAACGAGTGAACAACCGTCATCGTCTCAGAAAACAATTTGCCGCGCGCGATCGGGCAGCTTCTTTGCTTTCTCTCAGGTTTAACTACGTTAAGCATTTAAATTTCCAATTTGGGGCTCCCCCCTGGTGCCCTGGACAATCACCGCCCGTGCCCAAGTGAGTAGCGCGGGTTCGATCTCCTGTCAGGCCAATCCAAGATCTTTAAAATGTGTGCGGCACACTAGATGCCCGGGAACCTCGGTACCAGCTAGTAAGGACTCCCGAAAAGCCATACCCCCAACAACTAATAGCTTGGCTAACCGGTCTGGCAGGCAACCAGAGCAGCCGGTAAGCACCGCCCGTCCCGGGGGACGATAACAACGAACGGGAAGGGATGAGCAGCCCGGCCCGAAGAGGGCCGTGTCATGTCGTCAGGACGACTAAATGTATAGGCTATACCTACGAAACAAACATAAATAGAATTTGCCGACGATACACATTGTTACCGCATAGTTGGAGCGAGCGAGCAACTACCGACTTGAACACAGTTACGATGCCCAACATGGAGTTTGGAGAAGACAAGCGTATTGGATAATGTGTAGTCTGACCGCGAGTCGCTTCGACCGCGAGATTGTCGACCCAACAGCAAATACTGCACGCAATATCAGTTCATTCGCTTCAATTTGTGCGAACGTTGTGCAGCATTCGCAAATTAACAAGAAGTGGAACTGGATGCAGGGGGCAGGTAGTAAATGACCGAAGTTATCATGGTGTCCAAAAGTGTGGCAAGGAAAGTCAAGTCGGGCTTTGTACGAGCAAGCTCTACCGACACGGTAGAACGCCGCGGCGGCTTTGCTATCCTCATTTCCATCAAAACATGCATCAAAACAAAAAAAGTTGCTTTGCTCGAACCTGTTTGCAAAGTGTTAACCTCCATAGCAACGTTGCAGTAGTCTTCTACGCTGCATTTACACAAAGCACGGCCATAACGTTGTGTCGTCAGAGCGCGATATCGACGGTATCATCGTGAGGGTGGTCAAGGATGCATCTTATTGTGATCAGCTAAGGCGCATACCAAGTCACTACCTAAAACACAGTCAGAGATAGAGCACCAGTGTCGGATCCTATCAGTGGTTGGCCCCCACTGTGGTAAACGAAATGATAATCGACGTCCGCGCCATAAAAGGTATGGGGAAGATGTAGAGATCACTGAAGATTGAGCTCAAGTCACACATTACCCATAGCAAACCATTGTTCCATGTTCCCGTATCTACTTGCTCTAGGTAGTATCATCCCCCATTGTGCATCGATCGCCACAGCAGCCTCGTTGCTCTTTAGCACTGCACATTGCTCGGTGCGCCCGTACAGTTGCCAACGTTGGTGGCGTGGACATTGATGTTGGTGAGCTCCAAGCCCGAGATGAAATCCGGGTTAGCCAAGATGTCGTACAGGGTTTCGGCCGAACCGTAGAGACCGTCGATCAGGATATTGGTGATCGCCACGAGACTGGTGGGATGATCCGAGTAGCCGCCTAGAGATCTGTCAAAGTCCGCGCGAATGGCGATGGCGTTCCCGACGTTCACGAGTGTGTTGTTTACGTACATGACGTTCGTGACCAGACCTTTGAGGTCAACAAGGGCTTTGATGCGAAGACCGTTGGCGCTGTTCTCGATCGTATTGTGCTCGACTAGCAGGCCATCCACAGTAGTGCTGAAGTTTTGCGACGCACCGCCGATCGAGCCGATGGAGATGCCGCGACCACCGTTGCAAACGTTGTGACTGAACACCGTGTTGGCGCTCGACTGCATGCCGAGGCAATCACCGTGATTGTACACGATGTTCCTGGTGATGGTCAGGTGGTTGTTCCTGCTCAGGACAAACCCGTCCGTCTCCTTCGCGAGGCCGTTGCCAGCCCGCGAATCGATCGTGATATCGGAAATCGTCGTGTAGTTCGTGGCGAGTACACTGAAGGTACGCGTAGGCGTGTTGACGATGGTGAAGCCCGACACCACCGTGTTCGCAACTCGGTTCAGGCGGAAAAACGCCGGGCGGGTGAAATTCTTTCCATGCGGCCAGTACCATGCGCCCTGACCATCCAGCGTGCCCGGGCCCGTGACGGTGAGATTTTTCCCCGTAAGCCTGACGAGCGGGCCCTCCCAACTCTACAGCAGTAGCGACACAAGCAACCAAAAGTCAGTCAGTATGAACCAAACAACTATCTAGCTCCAAGAAGTAGTATGTACGACGTACCTTTGGACCAAAGGTCGACGTGCCGTGGAACTCGATATGGGCGCCGTCCGTGACGTTAGTCAAGTCGAGCGTCACGCCCGGAGGAACTTGCAGCGAGTCGACGATGATAGTCTTGCAGTGCGACACGTCCGTTCCATTGACGTAGAGGCCGGTCAACGTGCAGACGCCGTCCCCTTGCGCTCCCACGCCACTTTGCTGGCCCGAAGGCAGTGGCTGCACCATGCCGTTCTTTCCTCCTGGTGCCAGTTGGTCCGGGTGGTTGCCCACAGGCAACGGAGACATCTCACACGCGACGTCGTGGGTCACATCGTTTCCGTCGACCGCAGCGGCGAACAAGGCGAAGGCAGGCAGAGCGAAGGTAGACGAGCAGAATTTCATTGCGTTCACTTAGGCTAGTAGAGGCAAATTGATCAATGCGTTTGTGCCGAAGAACGAGACGCCGAGCAGGTTCAGGCGAAAAGCGCCGCAAGCCTTCCTATCGCACCGACTGAAGCAAACCGTGCTGCAGAGGGTACGTGTCTGCGGTGGGAAGCACACTGCTGTAACGCAATCGCCCGAGCTCGACTTGATTACGACCGTATGCATCTTGAACAACGACTGACAAGCAAACGACATGTTGTCGATTCGTTGTCAATACAATTGTCGACAAGTAATCGACAGGTATCGTATTGGTGCGACACGCCACGACCGTCTGTTCGTGTACAACAGCTGCTCTGCGACACGACAAACACTGACGTGGAGCACAAACGACGAGAGAACACATTGTTGCTGGCTCTTTGGGCACACAGTGCGAAGCTGTGGTTTGTTGTGTTGGTCATGAGACAAGTGAGTGAGCGGTACATGTCCATCGGTTTGTAATATTTGCGACACATCTCCCATCGGATCCTGTCGACTGTGACGCCACCTCGTAATTCGTGCGTACAACAGCGTACTATCCGTAACGAGCACACGATTGGACAGATCACTTGTAGCTCATGTATGACCAGCCGATTGATCATGCTCTTTACTAGCGACCCTCTCATGCGCTTCTCGCCGACGGCACTTCACCCGTATCGTTGTCACGAGCAGTCAGGTCTCGGAGTTGCACTCGATTTGTTCGTGTAGCTGCTACATATCGAGGGGCTTCTTGGTGCGCCATATTACAATGCCCGTCGCAGATCGTAGCAATAAGCAATCAAAACAAAGCATTACGGCAGAGCCCAGAAACGCGTGTCGTGCTGACGTTACGACACGGCGTCGGGAAAATGCAGCAGAAAAAGGGTACTATCCAATCGCACCCGGCACTATCCAGTTGCATGTCGTGGCAGGCAGCACAAGGCGACGATGCCGAGGCGAATACGTACCAAAGCAATAGGGCCGAGCAGTATAATTGTCTTCGCAATCCTACATGTTAAAAATTGCTTGTTACGTGAAAAGTTGTTCCACTACTGACTTTGGAGTTCGCAGGGATCGAACCGTTACTTCCTTGTGCTCTTGTCACGCTGAGAATTAGGCCAGACAGCTGTAACTTTTGTTTCTCTAAAGACTATTTTAGCTAAGTAGAGGTTTGTTTCGTGCGCATTACTGACGCAAAAATGGTTCATGAAGCTAAACTCAAATACGGCCGCAAAATAAAGAGCACCAAAGTGCGCTCATTTACATATATTTAAACATAGTGCTTTTTGTATAAAGCGTTTGGACTTTTCTTTTTGTAAGAAACTGTGTTTAAAACAATTATAAATTCATTACCGAAACCTTTTTTATTTTACAAAACCAATTACGTTTTGAAATAAATGCATTGTTGATATTATTAAATCCTATAAGACTGCTAGAACAAAAAACATTCTACACATGCTTCTAGCAAAAAATTCGGACCTCTGATTTTAACAACAATACAAGAAAAATTCGACATAAGTTAGACATGCCGAGGATGTCAGGTGCATTCTACACATTTCAGACTTCAATGGCGACGATTGTCACGTTTCTAGTTATATAGACGGCCATTTGCTTGCACGACCGGGCCGGACAGGAACCAAATGGTTGATAATGGCTACTTACTACAAAAGAACACTTCGTTTGGGGGACGATGTGAATCAAAGGTGACTTGGCTGATCTACTTCGACAAATTAGCACGTGATACACATACATTATATCCTGCTACAATCATGTCCCAAAAAAGGCAGACGAGGTGAGTGATATCTTATGCACATTACCAAGGTAAAGCCGCATTTTAGGATAATCTGCGAGATCATAAATATGCGGTCGAGACAGAAAAACATCGCCGAGAATCCCTTACAACAGCTAAAAGGTTTTGATTTCAGGCGACTGAAAGCATCGTAAGCATAATGTCGTCAATTTTCTATAGCTCGGAGTCTAAAAAGAGATTAGACGTAAAGCTGTGTCAGTAAGTTTAAAAAGGATCTCTATGCTTACATATTCAATCATTTGTACGCCTCTGCGATGTCAAATTTCGAATGATCTCGTCGCTTGCGTGTCTGTTACCGTAAGAGCGCAGATAGGTTCATTGGGTGTTAACTTGGTCATCAGAGAAACCTAATTACTACTACTACTGGAACGTGTCTTGTGCACCGGGTCGAGCATATTACCCAATAGAGTGGTGGTACCGACGGCGGCATGAAAAGGGTAATAGTGCCCAATCACCGGAGAAGATGCCAGACAAAAACAAACTTTACTGTAAAAATTTAGTGAATGAAACCCAAATTGATGCAATCTTGTCCGCCGAATATATGTGTAGCAAATTGAGGGTACTACACAAAATGTTTGTGTACGGCTTACAGTACTTGATAGCAAGTGCAACATTTGAATCAAGGCACGTGAAAACGACGCATAGACACTGGCATAATCACTTGTACACGTTAAAATTACCATAAAATATACAACAGTAGATACAAGCGTAGGGAATATTCTAACATGTATGAATATCTCACATTTTGGTACCGATGTAGCTCGATTTGCCAATACGCAGACTCAGATTGTTCATGTCTTGCATACTATACATTATTATTTTTTCTCGATTGGGGAGTATCGACTTCCAACAACCATGAGCTCGCAAGAATTGAAGCAGAAAGCAGCAAGACTAGTATGACGCTTGTAATATTTGGTCTAATATAAGTTCAAGGACCCTTGATAAAAAGATACACAGCGATAGAACGCAGAGTAGGCGCAACAAATTGAATACTCACATCGGGAAGACGATTTTAGGGGCCCAAATGTTGCTGTAGTGAAGTAGATGTGTCATCAAGAAGTGAAATTTAGAAATGTGGTAAGAAGAAAAATCACATAGAGGACCCTCTGGTGACGCAGACTCATTTAAATTACGATTCGTCACTCACCATGGCACTAAGACTAAACCACTTACGAAAGAAGTACTCCTATACCAGAATCACTATTTCATCTTTCGCCCACCTTTCTATAGCGTTGCCTGCCGTCTGATAAGATGGCATCATAACTTCGTAACGTCGCATGTCACTACGGTTAAAAATTAGAGGTAGAGAATGGATCTAAGTCGCTTTATGATTTTGCGCACCTTTAAGGTCCCGATGCAATATTTCAATTTGGCCGCCACAAATGGGCTCTAAGGTCACATTCAGATCATCAGGTCTGTAGAGCCTTGTATGTAAATACTCAATTTTCTACAAATTGATCTCCTTTACCCCAAACTAATCCTCTGAGAATACTATATTCTGACCACCTAAGTCGCCTCTCGACCTTCTGTATTTAATTATATTTGTACTTAATACGCCCCATTGCAGTTCCATTTTTCATGGGATAGAATAGATAGCCGAGCTTGGAAAAGCACTCCAGAGAGGAGTCAAGTAGAGGAGACAAAGTATGTTTGTATTCGAGTAGATCCTGTAGCAAAAATATTGCTGCTTGCCTTGCAAATGATAGTAAACTTGGTCTCCTTACCAATTAAAATAAAAACAACCTATCAAATTTGATCTTGTCTGATAAGATAGGTCACAGCTTCAGTATAAAATACTAGAAGTTGCTTTTGTTTATATCAAGCCTTACACTTAAGATATATTTCCAACCCATTTACACGTCTCGCAATTGTACAATGACCTCAAAATGTCGCAACGCGTTCCACTGACGATACCTGTGATTTCGGCTCGAAAGCACTTCATCTTGATTGGGAGCCTGGGATCTAATGATCGTATATCAGCGCGACCTGTATTTCCCGTCATCCTGATAGCTGACATAGTATTGGAGCCTTGATTTATAAATCTGTTTGTGTATATTGGTTATATAGAGGAAAATTCAATTGCTCCGCTCAGCGCCAGTCGAGTGTGTCAACTAAAAGCTTACCGAATGTATCTTATTTATCAGCAATTACCTTCAAAGAAGGCGCAAACGCACAATGATGGTTGGTTGCCCAGCGATGTACTGAATATCAATCAGAAACGTAATTTGACGTTTACATTTTCATATACATCTAAATGCCCCACGTAAATGTTTATCGATCAAAATGGCCATCATTGAACACAAATGAAAGCATCCCACACGTTCTAGTTTTAATCTGACTATCATATGGACGATCAAAATAAGATTGTGGGTAAGAGCTTGCAATAATGACCCAATTTCTATAGTAGATGTAACCACGACAAAATGTCTGGATATTATTCAAAACAAGGGTCTGCGATCTGTAATAATGATCAAAGATTACGATTAACTTTGCGAACAATTTTCATGTAACGCGTTTAGAGTTGTCAAAATCCTGGACCAAGTATTGGATATCGTGTATCATCTTCACTTTCTCAGCCTACTTCAGGCCATGCGTAAGGATTGTGTGCAAAAGCTCAGGAGTTACACATGGAAGGAACCCTTCTTCTTATAAAATAAGTCTGGGCGGAACGAAAAGCTGTGGACTACATCAGCAAAATTTCCGACGGTACTCTTTCAGATAACTTAGAAGGCTGTTATTGTGGTGTTCCTATATACAACATCTATTGTCTATAATAATGGGTAAGAGAAAGATGTATGTGTTACTTACCGTAAGTTGTATTGTGTCAAATTCGCGTCATTCTAAATATGCTTAAAAGGCCTCACACGACCCCTTCAGATAGAGACCAATATCGGACTAGCTGACAATGGGTCAGACAACCCAATACCGACATATAAATATGCGACGTTCGACAAACCCTGCAAGTCCAAATATAGCTTATTGAAATAGCTGTGAAGAAGATCAATCTGTCACTTGTCCCCCTTCTTCGTGTTACTCTTTTACAACATGGAGCGACATGGAACATTATAACAACAAAACGTGGCCCCATGTCCACATACCAAGCACATGCGTCAACATGTCCATCAACCGGTCTGCGAGTCGTAGCATTTGATATGAAGATTGAAGAGCCACGCATGCTGGACTACTTCAATAT